CACAGGGCCACCACCAGCGCTAAGTGGCAGAGCAGGGGCTTCTGGCTCCCACGCCGGCTCTTTCCACCTCATCGCACTGTAGCTCAGAAAGCAATCAAGCCTGACCTTGACAGTTGGGCGGAGGCCTCCGATGACCCAGGATTTAAATGCCAGGAGGCTAGGGGTTTGGGGGTAGGGGTTGGTGCTCACAAGGCGCACACCCCTTCCCGAATTCCTCGCCTTCTGCGGAGCACTGTGACCACGAGAGGGCGCCGCATCGGGGTCCCGGAGATGCTCCGACAAAGCTCAGAACTGAAATCCTGTTGGAGGTGGGCACAGGGCAAAGAACACGGTTCCCTCCCGTCGCCCTTACAGCACCCCGACCGAGCCCCTGCCTGTGTGAGCCCTCGGCTGTCCTTGTCGGGCTCGGAGACGTTGTGTGGCGCTCCTAACGCTGAGGGAGGGAGTTGTTTACATACAGAGCCCCTGGTAAGAACTCTCTCTGTGGTTTTACCAAGTCCCAAGTCTTCGCTGAAAATAAATAGAGCTTGTATGGGAGAGGGCAGGGGTTCCCAAGACATAGGTCTCGATTCTAGCCTGTGTCAATAACTGACTGACACTGAGCCCTTGAGTACTTCCTTGTTCAGTTGGAACATAGACCAAGAGACATATAGCTGTCGTGGGGTAAAAGCTGTGGTTCTCAACCTTCCTAATGCTGCGACCCTTTAATGCAGTTCTTCATGTTGTGGTGACCCCCATCCATAACATTATTTTCGTTGCTACTTCATAACTGTAATTTTGCTACTGTTAAGAATCGTAATGTAAATATCTGATATGCAGGATGTATTTTCATTGTTACAAATTGAACATAATTAAAGCATAGTGATTAACCACAAAAACAATGTGTAATTGTATGTTTTCCGATGGTCTTAGGCGACCCCTGTGAAAGGGTCGTTCGACCCCTAAAGGGTCGCGACCCACGGGTTGAGAACCACTGCTGTAAGGAGACACGTAGTGGAGTAGGCAAGGAGTGTTTCCTGGAGGAGGTGCTGTTTGAGACTCAAGACAAATCATATTAGACAGAGGGGGCGAGAGGATCCTTGAAGACAGAAGGAAGTGCAGGTACCAAGGTCAGAGACAAGATACATAGCCTCATGGCCCCTCTGGGAGTCACAATAGTTCTGGTGGATGCAGCATGGCAGCCAGGGCAGACGGCTGGGCCATGACGGTGGAAGGTAAGCAGGGTTGGGTGAAAGCCCCGGAGCAGCTCGGAGGGGAGACTCCTTGCCTTCCTGGTTTCGGGCAGTGCTTTCGGCTGGCTGTGAGGGCGGACTGGAGAATTGTGAGACAGGAGACCGGAAGTCAAGGCTGCTGGAAGCTGCCGCAGCTGGGAAAGAAGAAGGGAGGCCACCCGTGAGTAATGGAGCGAGGTGGGAAAGGGACTGGTCTGAGAGAGTAAGGAGACCAGGTCCGGTGCAGACCAGATCACGGTGCCCCTCAGGGTCCTGCTTCCGTAGCTGATGGGTACCCTTCCCCACACTGAGATCCAGGCTGGAGGCATGGACAAGTGTGTGCAGCTCTGAGGTTAAAGAGCATCGAGCAGAGATGTCTGGTAGGTGTGTGAGTCTAGTGCTCCCGAGAGAGGGCAAGGCTGCAGGAGTACATTTTAGGAGTCACTGTCTTGTCCTCAGCAATCGATCTCCCACAGGGAGAACCGGGAGTGAGAAGACGGCTGTGGACAAAAACACAGAAGAATGAAGCAGCATTAAGACTAGAGCCCAAGATGGAGCTGAGGGCTGCAAGTAGCAGCGGCAGTGGTTAGAGTTGGGTATGGGGAAGATTGCTCTGATTAAATAGTGCAGAATGGGAGAAGGCACAGATACGGGGCCGCCATCTAGGTGCAGAGCAGGATCCCCAAGAAGAGAGGGGCCTCATGGGGCTCAAGTGAGGTTGGGGTGATTACAAGCACAGCATCCACGCCACAGACACGATTGTCCTCCCATAGAAAATGTCTTCTCTTTGAAGAGCAAGGGTGGCAAAGTGGCCACCTCTCCACTTTAACACATTTTGAATTAGTTGCCAACATTTCTTTTTATTATTATTCATATATTTTATTGATTTTTTACAGAGAGGAAGGGAGAGGGATAGAGAACCAGAAACTTCAATGAGAGAGAAACATCAATCAGCTGCTTCCTGCACACCCTCCACCAGGGATGTGCCCGCAACCAAGGTACATAACCTTGCTTGGAATCGAACCCAGGACCCTTCAGTCCGCAGGCCGACACTCCATCCACTGAGCCAAACCGGTCAGGGCGCCAACACTTCTTTTAATTGAGTCTAATTGGCATAAAACATTGTGCTATGATTTAAAAAAATTTTTTATTGATTTCAGAGAGGAAGAGAGAGATTGAAACATCAATGAGAGCGAATCACTGGTCTGCTGTCTCCCTCATGCCCCCTGCTGGGGATCGAGCCTGCAACCCCAGCTTGTGCAACCGGGAATTGAACCTTGACCTCCTGGTTCATAGGTTGACGAGCTCAACCACTGAGCCACGCCAGCTAGGAAAACATTGTGTTAGTTTTATACCAAACAATGATCTGGTATATGTATATTTTGAAAAATGGTTACTGCCGGGAGCTGGTCCATCCTTGCTGTTTCAAGGGACCTGGCGTATATGGCATACTGTTCTTAATATGTTTGCTCACCTTCTTGGCACTATGTGTTTTAACCAAGGTCATCTCTCTGAGAAAGGTTGTTTCCCCAGGTAGGGATTTTCCCCTGAGGTTAGGGAGGGAATAAAACCGCTTAACTAAGTGCCAGGCAGGTAGTTAATCACTTTACGAACAATCATGCTTAAGCTACATAATCTTTACTCCCTGGAATGGAGATAAGAAACGCCCTAACCTTTGGAATAGAGATTGATAGGGTTGAATCAACTGGTATAAATACAGATGTAACAAGACAACAGGAGACAGAACTTAGAAGACAGAACCTAGACACAGAACCTAGAGACAGAGAACCTGACTAGAAACTGGCGACTGAACCTGGCTGGAGAACCTAGCAAGAGAACATGGACACAGAACCTGGCTGGAGATCCAGACCAGAACTTGGCTGGAGATCCTGGCTAGAGGAACCTGGCTATGATGATCACCCGAAGGCTGCCTCCGTGTCATTCCTTCTTCGCCGACTCCGTCTACACCTTTGGGGACCCCAGCAGGTTACTACAATAAGTTTAGTTGACATCCATCACT